CCCCTCTCCACTCTTTTGTCAGGGCCAGAGTAGATCCTCCCCGCAGCTTCACCATTAACATGTCTGTTTCCTGTCAGCCCACTCAGAGATAATGTCATTTATCTCAGGGAGGCACAAGCCCAGTCATTAGCTTCAATAAAAGACCTCAAACAAAGGCCAGATAGTGTTTTACCCAAGGTTCCATGTACTAAATCTAGAAGTAAGCCTCTGAATGTCTAAAAGTCATAAGGATCTTAAACATCTAGAAAGTCCAGGACTCAAAAGTTATTCGGAAAAGAACTCCATGCTTCTTATCAGCCATCCTAGATTACATCTCCAAACAAGAACTTGTTTTCTATACAGTAAACACCAGCCCACAGCACTATCTCTATTGGATTAACCAGGGAAGCCTCCCCTGGCCTCCTCCCCCCCTCCCCCCAACACACACACACTACCTTCTTGCCTCCAGGAGGAAAATTGACAGAATAATTCAGGTGGTGACTAAATAGTCAGATCTTTGAAAAACTGACCTCTCTTGGTCCATGCCTGTGGGAACTGGATAGCCGTTATAAGGTGGTCAATAACTGAGCTTCTGGAAGTCTTTTAAGTAAAAGTGGAACTGGTTAAAATGAATGTAGGAACATGTGTTTTCACAGTGTTGCTCATATTACTGCAATTTCAAGTTTCTGTGAAGTACCAGGTGAACTTTTTTAAATTAAAAAAAAAAAGCCCACAGACACCATCAAAACTGGAGCAAATCTCAGCCATTCAATCCCTGTGTTTTCATGCTGGAAACGAAGAACAGATGGTACTTTCCATGTTGTTTGAGTCTGGTTATTGAACACCTCTGTGGTTAGGGAGATTTCTGCTTTGCACTTTCGCATACATTTCATTTACTAACTGTAAAATGCTGCTTAGGAAAAAATAAGTCTTTATAACACTCTAATTAAAACCATCTTGGAGCTAAGCAATTTCACTTGAAGAGCGTTCTTAACCTCACGACATTTAGACAATCATTTCCCCGCCCCCAACCTGATTTTGTTGCCCAGACTTCAAAGTTATTAAAGTTGCTAATCATTTTTCTAGCTCCATCTTGAGCAATTGTGCGTATTTTTAAATCCCTCTAGTCAAGCTAACAGTTTTCAAAAGCTAAACCTGGAACTCTGTGATGGACCTCACCATACAAATCCTCCAAGCTACAAGGGCTCTCCCAGAAAGCTTGCAAGGGGACAGCTTTGCCCTTCCCCAAGCCCATCTCAAATAGCTCTCTGTCACCCTCTGGGAAACCTGAGATCAATGTAAGGAGATGCATCCAGGCTGACTGAAAACCACTCTTAGTCACAGTTGTTTGTAACAGCTAAATCCCTTATGTAGCTTTCAAAACACTGTACTATCCAACAATGGACTTTGTTCTTTAATTATAGCAAGTGGCCTTCCTGCCTTTTCTTTTCACTGTAGACAAACTGTCCTCACTAGGCAGAGCTCCTAAAGAGCCCTATATTTGCCAAAAGAACAACAACAAAAGGAAAGATATCACCCACAAAACTCATTAATCAAAACATGTTCTTAAACTGCTCACACTCATTTAGAAAATGCACTAGAATTCCCTAGTGACGTGTAAAACGGATTCTAAAGGAATGGTTTCTACAAGAACAAAATGAGTGATCTCTTTTACAGCCAGACCCATTTGTATATATCACTTTTAGGAATGACAAGGGCCATCTTAACAAGAAAACTGCATGATATTACAGAAATAATCCTCTTCTCAGAATATGTACTGAAAGGAACCCTAAGGACACAACCATGTGACCTGTGTTCATTTTGTTTAAGTATTTAACATTTTTCTATGTACTTTGGAATTTTCCAGTGGTCAAATGATCCCATGTATGGTATCCAGTATAACTAACTCAGCTGAGTGTTCCCTTAATAAGTCCAAAGTGTAAGATGGCTAACAGGGGACTATTATGTTTTGTTTTTAAAGGAGGGGGAAGGGAAGGTGAAGAGGCAGGTTTTAACAACCCAAAGCCATCCCGTCAAATCTACTTATTCAGACTTGTCACTGTGGCTTAACCACAAAATGAGCTATAGAAATATAGTTCAACCCTCTTAGAATTATGGCATGTTTTGATTTTGTTCACGTATTAAGGGAGTGGCGACTTTTACAGCATAGTTGTGGTTTTCACATAAAAGAGTAGAACACTCATTGATTTAATTAGGTTTCATAAGGTCCAATGGATCATGTTCTACATGACTTTGTGTAGTGAGGAAACAGAATAAACAGACCAAAAATAGACATTTAAGCATGCTGTGAAAATTAACCGGTGACAGCCAGTCTTATGAATCTCCTGTGAGCCTTCCAACCAGAAAAGAAATAAAGCATATGTATATACTCTCCTTTGGTTTTCACGTGTGAGCCTCTTAAAAGACACATCTGATTGCTGAAAATTAATCATCTCTACTCTGAGGGCCATTACTCTTTGCAAGCCCAGATAGTCAAGGGAAGCTGAAATTACAATGTTTCATAAAATGTAAAAAAGAAAAAATCTGCCCCAAAGATGCTTCAGATTTGAAACATTGTAGCAGGCGAAGCTTGGCCTGCTAAATCTTTACTTTCTAAATAGGTATCTTCATATCCTTAGAAAGTATTTTCTAAATTGAAGCCTAATTGGACACAGCCATTGGTAAAATTACCAGTTACTTCCCCCGGTGGTAAGTGTGCCAGGAGTACCATCTTGGTGTGCCAAGAATGGAAGCATTCTTTAGTCCTCCTGGGGTGGAGGGTGGGGGAGGAGGAAAGACTTCAGAAATCCTCTTTGAGATCTCCGAGCTAACACCAGCTTGACACAAATGGCCCAGACAGCAAGATCCCGGCCCCTAGCCTCCATCCCGGGGTGACCTCGGGACATCAGGGTGGCTAAGGTTAGAGACGCAGTCTCCTCCTCACACAGAGCCAGAAGCAAAGCTAAAAGCAATGGGATCTCTCCTCTCCCCGGCCCAAGACCAAGCATAACTTGTTTGCTCTTCGTTTAGGTCACTTCTCCCGAGTCTACTGCTTCAGCTGAAGAGGAGTCACACCTACATAAATAATTTAATTCTCCCATTCTTCATCCAGTTTTCCCTGTGACTGGAAAGCAAAAAAGAACACACACACACACACATTGGAGAGCCGACACCATGCTCTAGTCTCAGTTGCCATGACAGCAGCCTTTGAGATCCTGCAATGTTCCGATTGCCAGCTAAACAAAATTGTTGAATGTGAACATTTGGCTGGAAGATTAAAAGGCGAAAGGGAATGCAAAAGGGCAGTACCTCCCACATTCCGAGCAGCCGGAGAATCCAATCAAATCTCTCTGACTCCTTAACCACAGCCATTGTGAGCACTGGATTACGGCAATTCATGGAGATAGTTAAAGCAGATTAGAACTGCAATTTGAAGACTATTGGCTACAGAGGTAAATGCCCGACTGTACTAAGTAATAAGATTTCAAAATGCCTTTTAGTAGAAATGATGTGAAACTACATATTTACACTCAGAATCGAATACTGCGATTTTTTAGAAGTTCATTTAAATTCAGTGACGTGAAATACTTAAGGAAGTATGGATTATAAGTGTTTGGTGGTGCTCTACAAGTTTGGCACGCTTATCTTTAATCTTTACATCCCTCAACTAACTTTTATAATCAAAACTTTATTATTAGACTCCAATGTAAATTCTGAACGAAGTTAAGAGGATTGGAATAGAGAATGGAATCACTTTACCCAAAAACCATCATCCAGGTGAATTAACCAACGTGTCCAATTCTGATCAAGTCGGAAAGACCAAAAAGCAAATCAATGTGTAAGCATATTTCCAAATAACCACACCACAAAACACATGATTTAAAAAAACAAAAACAAACTACTGCTTTTCTAAGACACAACCTGTAGACTTAATCTATAAAGACTTTTACAAAAAGATCACTCACAACCCCACTTCACTGGTAGATACAAAACCTTCTGTTCTCAGATTTTATTCAATAACAGAATAATCCATTCCAGACCAGCAAGACCCAGGCCGCCAACCCTGATCCGCACAACACTGAAGACAGTTTCTCCAAGTCAATGCCTTAACTGCAGACTTCAAGACAATGACAAAGATGGATCCAAGACCAAGAAGGATCCAAATGGCCTAAACCAACTATCCAGCACACAGTTCCCCTCGGCTCCCACTGCTCTAGATGTGGCTTCACATTTCAGGAGCATCAATCCAACCAAAGCTGCCTGGGTCCCCAGTGAAGGCTTAGATACCCAAGTGATAACATTCTTAGCATCTCCAGCTAAAAAGTAGGTGAGGAAACCCAAAGTTCTAGCCGCCACCAAAGCTATCCCGATTCTGCTACAGTGGTGAAACTAGCGATCCAGCACACCAAGCACCTCTCATAAATAGGAAGCCATCCAAGGGGGATCCTTTGAAGAAACAAATTTTGGAGAAAGTAAGGACACAATAAAAGTGATGAAAACCCTGGACCCTCCTCCTCACAGTGGGAAGGAAGCTGAACCCTGCCTCCCAGGAACACGTTAATTACTAGCAATAATGCCCCACAAGTAAATGACCACGGAAAACAGTTCTCCGGGGGTGGAGGGGGGGGAGGAGAGGGAGGAGGGGGGAGAGAGAAAGGAGGACAGGAATCCAGCGGGGGGGGGGGTGTAAGCAGCTTTCCTAGGAAAAAAGCTGGCAGCCTAAGCCAGGAGACCACCTGCAGCAGGGCCCCAAGGTGCGGTGGCCGCTCGGCTCCCACCGCGCACCAGCAGCCACCCGAGCCGCCCAGGCCCGCAGGCGGGGGGCAGCGGGAGCCCCCCCACCCCGGGCAGCGGCGAGCGGGCGAGAGCGCAGCAGCCTGGCCATCCCCGCCCACGGAGAGCCAAGAAGCACCGCGTGCCCCCCCCAGGGGGACACCCCCACGAGGTGCACCCCGAAAGAGGGGGGAGGAGGAGGGGGGTGGGGAGGGCACCCCAGCAAGGCGGCTGCACGGGGCTCCTACCTTCTCGGTCTTCAGCTTCTTGATGCGCCGGTGGCCCTCCTCCTCCTCCTCTTCCTTCTTGACCAACAGAGAGTTTCCCACGACGCCCGCGTCCGGGGCGCCTTTGCCCACCGCCTCCCCGGCGGCCCCGGCGTGGAAGGGGCTGGCGCCGCCCCCGTGGCCCTTGGCCCCGAAGCCGTACAGGTGAGCCCCCGGGGC